GAGCAGTAGCACATTTAGCTGATATTCTAACATGCTGAAGCACTCTAGGATAACGTGATCTGCCTCTAAGTGTTTATATATAAAGTGCATAATTAGCAAATATTTGCACGTGTATATGTTTTTTTATATATATAAAATGATCGCTGAATAAATCACAATACTTTAGTATATATTTAAAAAAAAGTAATCAATGGTCTAATGTTATGTCTACTTGGCCATTCCTTATTCTAAAGGCACAAGATGACATTTATTCATGATATATAATGTATGCACGTATTTTGTTGTTGTTGTTGTACACAATGTACGTTCAAATACAAAATATACACCACTAGGTTCATGTTCTCTCTTTCGATTTTTTTTGCATACTCTGTGTCTCTATATAACTGGTTTCCATTACATTTTGGGAATATAGTAGCACATTCCAAATGAGAATATTCCTGACCCGCAGGTAATAGCACGATCAACACCTGAAATGAGCCAGCTTCATTGCCAAGAGAGAGCGTCTTCCTCCTTTATTCTACGTGAGAAACGAAGCACGTGCTCCTGATTTTTTTCTCTCACAACCTACTTCATAGTAAACAGTATTCATTCCATAGAGTTTCTTTGGGATGTGAGTCTTATACCGGTATACCTTTAAATTGCGTTATAGGATTCGTGCACATTACTACATTATTTAAGAATTATTGTTGACTTAAAAAAAATGCAAATTATTTACCCATGACAGCCTCACCAAGTGTCAAAACTCTTCTTAAGGATTGTCCTGCATTTTAATGGTTTTTTTTTTGCCAAATGGGAGGAAGCCAGAATTACCGAGAGAGAAGATCTCACGTAAGAGCAGGTGACACTCCACACTCCACACGACCATGCTCTTGGCCACCACACGGCCCTGTATCGACATCGGTGGGGAAACTTTGATGGCTACCCCTGCAACAAATCCTCATCAGGCTCAAACCTACATGGCTTCTGAGATCTAAGGAAATTACCATATCTTCCACAAACTTAGATAATCACTCTGTTAACCGCAGTTTCATGAATACCATTAATGCTGTACTGTGAATAGGTTCACAATGCAATATTTACTTGAGCACCCCAAACAAAATAGTAGCGAGTCAGTGTCAAAGTTCCACTCTCGTATAATTTGTGCTCGAACATTACCTCACTGTAAACCACCACAACGAGCGGTTGTGCTGCCCAGCTCTATAATTGTACCGCGTGCTGTTAGACACGGTGTCTGACGTTTCGCTCCGCGTGCTGTGAGCTAATTCAAACGATGAATTGATCGAAGAAGCTCCCAGCACATGGCGCAAAACGTCGAACAACATGCACAACAGCACAGCGCAACAACCCGAAATTACACCACAGAGGCATGAACGCAAGGTTCAAGCGTATAAAGGTGCACTGCCCTTCCCCCGCACATCCGATTAGCAGGGTCGGCTACGTACGGTGCGAAAGAAGTTCAATATACATACATCCTGAATTGATGTTGCGGGGATTCACACGTTACCTGAACATCAGAAGTTAAGCCGCATCCCAAAGCAAACAGCTAATGAAATAATGTAACAGTGGAACATAATTCCGATTGTACACTGATTTATCTGAGATGCAATGGCTCAATCTACTCTTGCCAACGGCGGAATAGTACGATCAATACCTAGAGGAAACCTTGGGCGTGTTTTTTCCCATTTAAATATGATTCCATCACTCTTCATAATGCAGTGTCACGATTAACTTCAGGGGGTCAGGCGAACCTATTATGTTCAGCGTATATTGAAAGAACAATTATTTCCATACATGCGATTCACGTGCCCGCGTTGTGAGCTCAAGAATCAATATTACATCGATGTCGTGACGCGTTGTGGCACCGCTGCTTCTCAATAAGCAGCCAAAGGGAGTTAGAGGGCTCTAAACATTACAACACAAATGTTCACGAGTGTGTGTTGCTCAGCATTCAGCAGCTACGTATAAAGTACATATCATTTATATATATTACACACAGTGAAGTATATATATTTACATGCATTTTTGTATGTTGTGACACACTTTCAGCCCCTTAGTCCCAGTTAAAGAGTACTGTTGACAAAATTACGGTATTCTCTCGTTCCATAGACAACTTCACTGTTTTCTAAAAGTGCTTTAAGAACTCTAGCGAATGCGCAGGGTGTCCACAAAGGTGTGATCTATTATTCAATAATTATGAGACAGCAGTTTGTTCTCGATCAATAATTCAGATTCCCCCGAATAGCCTGTTGCCTGTCGCTGCAAGTACAATTAGCGAAGATCTATGAAGGCCAGCATGGTACACCACGCCAGGTACTCATTTAAGGCTGAATCTATCTCGGGGAGTCCCAGGACTGCCACTGGTATTGGTTGTGAGCCGGCATCGATCTCAGCTCGCCGAGGGTCATAGTGTAATGCGCTAACCACTGCGCCACCGCTCCCCACAAAAACTATACACGCACACGCGGTAGTGTGAAGATTTTTTTTATCACTAGGGGTTCATCATATCCTTCACGTGTCCACCATGGCGTTTGGCGACACACATCGCATCTAGATTGGAGAGAGTGCCAGGTGTCTCGCCCACCGTGATTGCATCGGCTGTGATTGTCTCCATTGATTGAGTTTAATGAATTCCTTTGCCAATATTTTCAAACCACATACCTCAAACCTTAAAACGCACCTCAAACCCAATTTTAATTATTTCACAAATAGATGATGACATCTTCGTGGACAGCCTGTACTTTGTCAATTATTACAGAGATGCCCTGTGATCATTGACAAACGTTATGGAACAGCACTGAAGACAACCTCATGTAATAATTCTGGGTCGCATGAGATTGTTTGTTAACCAAATGACATATCACTTTTGGGTTTTAAATTTGTGTTCACTCTGTTGTTACGTATTTATCAAACCCATGCGAGCAGTAATATTGGCACGTGGCTGGCTTGTATGACCCATTCCAGAAAGGTCCAGAATTTGGCCTTCAAGAGAACACAATGCAATTGTTGTACAACAGTGCAAATATTTCATCGATTTAAAAAAAAACATACAATGAGGCAATACAAATGGTTAAATATCAATGATATTTGTAAACCATATCTCTCACGATGTAATATTCACATTTTAGATGTTTTTGTTTTACATTTTCAATCAATACACAAGGACGAGTCTTGTTGTGATCTATAACTAGTCATGCGATGGATTTGTATTCACTCCCCACCATTTATGAGGCCAAAAAGCTACCCGTATATGACCTCTGTAAGTCTGCTGACCATGTTTGCTCTCAGAAATATTAAAAAAAAACACCACCTGTGTGAATGTTTACTATTTACGGTTAGCGATGCTTGGAATAGATAATACCAGGGCTTAATTTCATCCGGAGCTTTCTGGGGCCGAGCTCCAGAAAGTAATCCCTCCCAAGCCTTCCCCTGCCCCGCTTGGACAGGTCGATGGCTCCTGGAAATATTTAATGAGAGAATAATCTCTGGATGTATACACTATATACGAACGAAACGTTTCAATATATATATACATGTTAAACAATAGATAAAACACCGTGAACCCCACAGTGAAATTGAGAGAAGTTATCGACAGGCAGTTTTTTTTTCAAAGTGTTAATTACTTTAGCTTGCAGCCTTAGCTCTTTATTGAGTTGCTGTAGTCAATGGCATGCTTCACCGCTCATCGGGTTGCTCACCTCGCTTTCACTCTTCATAAATAGTTCTCCAAATGTCGAAAACAACCTTGTTGCAAACGACGTGGTGGCGAGTGATGTCAGCGCGCACCTCAGTGAAAAACGAGCCACGCGTGAGTGGAGTTCAAACAGATCTAAGATTGACAGTGCGCGCTTGTGGCAAGAGAACAACACGCTTTGTCATCCCACCGCTTTGTCATCCCACCGGCTTGTAACTTTTTACCATTTGGGTGACTCAATGTGACATGCGGAGCCACAGGCATTTCCGCTGAACTTTTGAGGGAAAAAAATTCCATCGCATTAGGGGGGGGGGGGGGGGTGAGACAACCACTGTGATGGTGATCTGGCTCTATAAACGCTTGTGTGCCGAAAGTCCGATTACAATTCGCCATAAATGTTATCCATCTTCGGTGCAATGCCTGTCGTTGTCATTACTGGGCACATTGCATGCATTGGCCTAATCATCTCCAGAAGGTAGCTTGGCGGGACGATGGCTGGCAAGAAAATAACAAATCTTACGTTTAATTGAAGTCTATAAACATTCACAACATTCTTTCGTGACGAAATTACGTCTCACCGTCAATGTTATATTAAAAATACTTATCCATTATTAATTTGAACCGACAGTGCGTATAACCACAAGGTGTATAATTGCGAAGCTAGCGTGACAAGAAAGACAGATTCATTTTATGAAGCTGACGTTTTTTCGAAGATTTCGGGAACATGCGTTCACCATTTCCCATGGTCTTGTGATGTCACGATTAATTTCACTCCGTGTCCACGAGGGAAATTAATTGCGATGAGATTTTTGCACATGAACTGATTTCACCACCTACATCTTTAGGCGTATATGCAGTTTTACAAAAGCACTCCATCCTGCTTTCATTCACTATTTATTTGATGTCATTTTTTTTATATCAATCCACATTCAATAATTGTCATAAGTATATATTTTCTGCTGTGTTTTTCCAGTTGTGTGACTCCAAATTTTTAAATTTTGTTTAGCAACTTGTACGTTACTTATTTTGTTTTACACGTAGGCTTTCGCGACCAATATTATTCATAATACACGTTTTTGGGTTAAATCGCGTTATTTATAAATGTGTCGTAACCCTCCACCACCCGACACGGCCAATCAGCAAAAAAAAGTTTCACGTTGACAAAAGACAAATAGTTCACTACTTTAGTCCACCGGTGTGTTGAAGAGTGAATCCAAAACTGCAAATGTTGTGGATTTACTCTTCAACACATCGGTGGGCTAAAGTAGTGAACTATTTGTCTTTTGTCAACGTGACACTTTTTTTGCTGATTGACCGTGTCGGGTGGTGGAGGATTACGACACATTTATAAATAACGCGATCTAACCCAAAAAGTGTATTATGAGTTACTTATTTTGCTCATAGGAATCTTGAACCACACTTTACGGCTTTCTTTGGCAAGTTCTTTAATAATTTCGTGTCGTTCATTGACATATGTTGTTTTAATGACCACGTGGTTATAAAGTCTGAGATGCCTAATAATTTCCCATTGACTTTACAGTTGTTTTTCTCAAAATCCAATTTCAGAAAATATCTTCTCATTCTAATTTTTATTGTCGTCACGTTGATCTGCATTCTGAGTTGTAAAAGTTTAATCTTTTAACAAATAGTCTCGATAAATCATATGTATATATTGATCACATGAATGTTATCAACTATATTGATTTGAATTAGGATGAACTGATGCAGGCATGACAAGCGCTCACAAATCAAGGCCGAACGGTTTTAAATTTATAAAAAACCATAATTATCATGATCCTTGATGGCTTCGCAATTTCAATTCCACGGAGAGTATCACACAGCCACACACACTCACATGTTGCAATAATAGAGTGTGCAATACAACGTACACTAACACATAACACACAAGCAGTCTATTAACATTATTACAGATGTAATAATGTGTAATGCTTCCAAATAATTGATACATTAACATTACGTCTAGTTATGATTATCAGAATGTCTGAATTTCCACTCAAGTATGCACAAAATCTACACGGATTTGTAAAACTCTTCTTGAATCAATTTTTCAAAATTGGAAATTATAATGGATTGTGTTCAGTGTTCCGAATGAGTCCAGGTTAACAGTGTAATCATAGCAATTGTATTTTTACTTTCATGACCAATATTATGACGACCAATAATTGATTTATTTTGGGCTAAAGTGCAAAATATAATGTAATTTTGAGCTATGAGGGTTAGTTATTAATATTAGTATGGTGGGGGATGGAAAGTTATTGTTTGTTACATTATAGTTGGGTACATGTATTTCATTGAAGATATAACAATTTGCATGTATTTGTAAGGCACCTTCCACTACTATCTAAAGTTGTATACATTGGCATTTACTAACGATTTACTTCGACTTTTTTTTACCATTCTCAATTTGAACGAACGCAATAACACCGTAATGGAGTTAACCCATAGCCCGTTTTCGCCAATAATTAAATAAATTCACTTTGCTACACTATTTGTACTCTGTAAATTACAACGAAGCAGCAATCAGCTCTATCAAACCGGTTCACCTGCATAAGTTTTCCCCATGGCGTCGTGGCGCCTACATCAGGTACCTTGAGCTCTTGCGAGCGCCTGGTGATGCTTGGCCAAAGATTTTCGTTTGCGTTTCAACGTAACCGGTTTTTACTGAAAAGGAAAACAAGCATTTGGCAATACATGCCCACGTGACAAGCCGATGTTTTTGTCCTTGCCTTTGTCTCGCTCGTGATGATGATTGCACACCACACCAGGTATTCATTTGCGGCTGAGTCTACCTAGAGGAGGCCCAGAACCAGTCAGATAATCGTCACCGGTTTTTGCATAGACCTCGGGTCGCCGGGTTTGTAGCAGACCGTATTAACCACTGTGCAACCGCCCCAACAATATATGGCATTAATTGGATTGGGTAGCTGAAAACACAACAAGCAAATGGCTCCAATGTTAAATTACTGGTGTTAAGCAAGCCGATTTAATCATACAATTTGCCACCACCATCTAAATGTTTACTTAAGTAGATTTTGTTGGCCAAGTCTGTATACACCACTTTAACAAAGTATGCACACAAAACACGAACTATTAAGCCAATCCTGTGATCTACATCGAAGAACAGACCCACCCACAGTGCACTCAACAATAACGATTTGATGGAATGTTTGCCAATGAGTTTACTCGTCCTCAATGTCCCCAAACAGTATGACTCCGTGTTTTTTTTTTCTACAATGTTGTGCTGCCCTTCCCCTCCCTGCAGTTGAAACACGCAGTTTGTCTACCCCCAGCGCGTACTCTCTTGATCGCACGCATCAGTAGTAACGTTTTTGTTTAATGATACTGGTTCGGACGCATGCCCATGTTACAGCCCTTATGTCAATCCGCCGCTGGAAGAGGGCCGTGCGGTTAACTGTGGTTAGGCATTTGAGCGCACTTCACCACGCTGGTCAGCACGGGTTCGTGAAGGCGGTGAGCTTAGACGTTGAAGGATAGTAGAATACAACGCTGGCCTCTCGCTGCACTGCCCGCTGCTGACGATGCAGTCCTGCGGCATTCTACGACGCCTGCTTTTCGCATTGGTGGTCGACCATCCGAGCGCTGTCCAGGTTCACACCTGCTGAGCTTCCGAGATCTGACGAGAGCGGGCGTATTTCGGCGTGGGGGGAGGGGGTCATAGCTTCATAGGCTTCGTGCTTAAGTACAGTACTTGTCCGTGCATTTGCACAACCAACAGGATACACGCGCGCTGCCACCTCGCATGCGCCATCTGTGTGCGTAATGCGTTGAGTTCAGTGAGGTTAAATACAACCGTAATTACGTTTTACACACACCCAGGGTGTACAAGTGTAATAAATTGTGGCAGTATCTCAACCGAGCGTATGGATCACTACCACCATCAAAACGAATAGACGACCACGGTACCCTACAAAGCCCATTGCGAGGAAAAGTCTATAAATAAAATGTTTAAAAAAAAATACGATGAAATGCATCTCAGCGGGCCGAACCGCCTCGTGGCATCTTGAACGAGCAACACGCGTGGTGCAGAGTGTGCGCGGGGAACACTGCGGCCTCTTGAGCTCCGATGCTCAGCACAGCCGCTGCACGGCCGTGGTGCTGGGCAGGGTGTCGTCTCTCCGGTGGCACGGGTTCGAGCCCCGGTTGCGAGCCTGCTCGCTGCTATCCAGGGGCTGCAGGGGTATTGCCACGACGTCGTTGGCGACCCTCGCCTCGCAGCGCTCGCGGGTGCGAGCCCCGGTGTGCAGAAAGGGACCGATCTGGCAATTGCGCGTCAACGCGGCGGGGGATATTCTCCAGAACATCTCGTTGAGCACCTCGCGGAACTCGGTGCGCATGAGGCAGTAGATGATCGGGTTGAGGCAGCTGTTGGTGTGCGCCAGGCACACGCTGGCCGGGAACACGTACGTCTGTGCGGCGTAGAACGCCGAGCTGAAGGGCACCCTGTTGAACTTGACCAGCACGCCCCAGAGCGTGATGGCCTGGTTGGGGAGCCAGCAGACGAAGAACGAGAGCACGATGACCGTCACCGACTTGGTGACGCGCGACCGCTTCTTGGGGTTGTTGTTGTTGTTGAGCGTGTGCACTTTAAGGTAGCGCAGCAGCAGCAGGTAGCACACGCTGATGATGAGCAGGGGCAACGCGAAGCCGAGCACAATCTTCTGGAGATGGTACAGCCCGAGCCAGAACTGCGCGCTGCTGACGGGACCGTGGAAGCGGACGAGGCACAGCTCCTCGCTGGACACGACCGCCGTCGTGGAGTAGATGGCGTGCGGCAGCGTGGCGAGTCCAGCCGCGAGCCAGATGACCAGGTTGAGCCACATGGCCGTGCAAGCCGCGGGCCTTCTCCGCGCCTTCAGGGCCGAAGCGATGGACCAGTAGCGCGTGATGCAGATGACCGTCAGGAAGAAGACGCTCGCGTACATGTTCATGACGGTCAGCGACAAGATGAGCTTGCACATGACGAGCCCGAATGGCCAGGTCATATCCAGCGCCACCTCCACGGCCCAGAAAGGCAGAGTGAGCACGAATTGGAAGTCCGTGACTGCCAGGCCGAACACCAGGGTGTTTATCGCCGATTTCTGCCACCGCTGCTTGCTCCTCATGAGGAAAATAACCAAGAAGTTGCCCACGAGCCCCAGGGCGCACACCAGCGAGTAGACTATGGAGATGATGATCCGAAGGCCGGCGGAGCCGTCAGCCGGGACGTCGATGTCGTACAGAGTCACGTATCGCGGCGCTGTGAAGTTGACATTATACTTGGAGACGTTCGCGCCCGCAGAGGTCTTCACGCCGGTGAATGACACGGGCTCCATTTGGACCCCTTTGTCCGTTGCTCTGTGATTGCTCTGAGACCTACAACAACAATACCAATAGAGCGCGAATTGCCGCGTGCAGCGTGGCAACCACTCATCGACGCATATCGCCTTACGAATGAGCAAAATACCTGCGACTTGACTGACACCTGCAACGGGTCTTCGTCTGCCGAAAGCGCGGGTGCTTGAGAGCTTTACGCGAAGTTCGTTTCCCACCTGAGCAGCCTGGCGATCGACAGTTGTAAGTCGCGCGTAAACAACAACAAAAAAATCACGTCATTTGGGTTCTTAACCCACCGCGCTCGACTGGCTAACACCGTGCACGGTAAACAATGCAGCGGGCCAGGTAATCGGCACGCAGCGCGGTAGAGTACGCTGTCCGAGGTGCTGAAAGTAGCGAACAGGTTTCTCGGAAACGAGACCCCTGTGACACACGGAATCAAACGACGCCGATTGGTCGTAACTTAATTCGTCAAATGTATATTTGTCTTCCACACGAATAGCACACCAATTGGCAAAGAGAAACGAATCAATTCAGAACGCAGCTTCCCACCGTCAACACGTTGCAGCTCACATCGCCGCGGGAAAGCAAGCGCACGAGCCGAGACTGAAAGGCCAACTGCAGGAGCACCACTTGCGGAGCTGTGTTTATAAATCGCGCCTGCTCCCCTTCCCCCTCCCTCTCCGACCTTCCCCCTCCTCATCCGCCTTTCCCCCCACTCGGATGTGACCGTTGATCAGCAAGCTCTGCAAGTTTTGGCTTTTACATATAGACTGTGCGAGAGCGAGTGATATTAATGGCTAGTCAAGGGCAGTCATGCGGTGAGTTATTTTGACAACACGCTCAATTATAACCTCTTAATATTCGTTTTGTTTAGACACATGCATAACACAGTTGCCCGCTCATGGAGAGAGTCAAATGTAAATCTTTACTGTCGTGGAGTGCGTGTTTACAGCAGCACTCGTAGTAGCGGGGGTTTCCCGATTTGTATTGGCTTAAGCGATACACCCCACCGGAGACGGTCGTGGTTCAGAGGGGCTGCAATGTGGATCTTTATGGTGTTCTTTCCCTGCGATATGACCCTATTGTCTGTCATTTCTGGGTGCCAAAATAAGAAAAAATGTCGGCTTTCAAACATATATCGCTGTTAAAATAAACTCGACCTTGTTCGTGGTAAATTTTTGTTTTTGTATCTCTTCTACAGCAACATCGTAATTATTTAAATCAATTATTCAGTCACACTCTTTTACGATCACTGTGTGCCCTGTGGGTGGCGGCTTTGTATCATTATGTCCACTGCACCTGTAAGATGTATTGTTGACTTAATTGTAGATAATTTGTAATCTTGCCACTGCTAAAAAAAAATCTAAATTAAATACCCTCGTTACACTCTTTAATGGCAAAACATTCTTAGCAATTAAACGTGATTACACTATAAATTGGTCTTTGAATGTGAATCGTTTCATACAAATTACAGCTAACAATAGTACTAACGATAGTACCTGACCCGATGCCAAGCTCAAATGCAATGGAAAAATCGTAAAATAGAATTCAAATCGTATTGTGTTTTTTTTTTTGCAGCAACGAGTGTTTTTGTTTTTCTAACAATTGGCTCGAAATATAAAACGTCAACGCGAAGCATGTTAAATCCATACAATAGATGACACCTTCACGTTTTAACTGTATCCTATTAATCTTTTTTTGCACGAATGTAACACGAAACTGCAAAGCTGGCCATTCAGTGACCTCGTTTTTTTGTTGTTTGGTTGTTGTTTGAAAAACAAATCAATAAATTAACCCCCGTGGAATGTTCCAAGCACCGTCGTATTGGGTTGTCTTGGGAGCGCAAATCGACGCTGTGTACACGCGGTGGCACTCGCAGTTGGGCTCCTGTCACGGGTGGCCACAGCCTTGCCCGTGAAGCACGTTTGCTTTCGCACTCAAACTGGCGTTTGTCTTCAACTTGTGAAGCCAGAGCGAATGGTCAAGAATAGCATCATTCCATTTGGGATTACGATGGAGAAAAACATTTTTTTGTCAAATTTGATGGCATTTGTTTCTGCCCAGTGAAAAGTATAGGAATGCATACATATGATAAATGTGACCTTTGCTGATCAATTGAGCCACTATAGAGGTTAACTTTTGGTAACAACATATGAAAATAATGTTGGTGCAAAGACCGATTAAAGCAAACTGATTTCCTTTCCAAATGGATATCCAGTTTAATGTAGGCCTATTGATTAGCCTCGTGTAATTTTTCTCTGGCATGGCATAAACAAAAAACACGTTCTTTATGAAGGGAACATTCACAGGTAGTTTATTATTTTGTGTTCTGAACAAGGACAGTGACTAGAAATGTCAGTCTGCTGTATATTTTTTCCTTTTAGAAAGTAGTGTAAATGACACGCACGTTTTTTTGTATTTGCTCAATGCATTATCACACTTACATACATAAACTATACAGATTACTTCCATCGTAAATTATAGGATGCGTGGAAAAATAATATGACTCGGCATGAAGACACCTAATTGGACATTTCCGTCAGCTTCGATAATTGCGTAATAATGTGCCTATTTGTGATAGGTAAATTGTAGCCAGATCACAATTGAATATTTTGTGGTGTGGGATGAATGGATATAACATGTTTTTTTATCTTGATTTGAAGCTTCCGTGACTGCAGGAATCCATACTCTTTGGTTCTTTCGGTAAAGTCACGTAGGTATTATTTTTAGTTACTATAATTTGCACAAATGCATTGATTTGTTTCCACGAAGACACTTAAACTATTACATATCGACCATTAATGACCTCGAAATAGAACAGAGCCAGGGTATGCCGACGTGCTGACTCTCCCAGCTCACAATCTTGTGATTTTATTCTGGACACATACATTTTGTCAACATTTATTTAGTTTTGCCTATACAGTGCAACAAGCCATACCAAAATAAGCAAAACCAACCACGTTGAACAATGCACTTGCAATCTACCCGTAGTCTTCGCAAAAACATATCACCAAGTAATTGAAAAGTTTTGTATCAATCTTGATGTGAAGCTTTCGTGACTGCAGGAATCCATACTCTTTGGTTCTTTCGGTAAAGTCACGTAGATAGAAAAATAATAGATCACGACGTTTTGATCGCAACACAAGTGTCCGTCATCAGGTTGGAAAGAGGTTGCTTTGTATCGTAAAATTCCATAGACGTAACCTAAGAGTCAGGTTGTGCCTCTTTGTACATATCTGGATAATATTAAACTTCACGTGTTTACCCACTGGCTTAAAGTGAGTTAGTAGACACAAACAAAGATCCCCGTATAGCCTTTAACAGACTGTTGAGGCAAGTGCTGTTAGCGAGCATCTATGAAGGCCGGCACGACACGCTCACGGCAAAAACAAGTGACTATTATCTGAATCAGCCCTGAGCCTCCCAAGGTCGACTCAGCCTCAAATGAGTTAATAGAGTCCACTGATCATCACTCATTCAGTGTAAATGGTCAGTGAATATCTCAATAATGATAGACTGTTAAAACTTCATGTTGATGTGCTGTCGCATATAACTGTGACACAACAAAATATCACGTACTCTTTGGTATTATTCGGTAAAGTCACGTAGGTAAAATAAAATAAAACAATTAAATCACGACGTTTCAGAGGCAACACAAGCTTCCGTCTTCAGGTGGAACAGTCACAGCAGAATATCTGTGTCCACCTGAAGACGGAAGCTTGTGTTGCCTCCGAAACGTCGTGATTGAATTGTTTTACTTTATTTTACCTACGTGACTTTACCAAATAAAACCAAAGAGTATGAATCCTTGCAGTCACGAAAGCTTCAAATCTAGAAAAAATATCACGTCTTTATGCAATGCCAAAACATTGGTTAGTACATTACCGTGGCCAGCAGACGGCGCAATTACCGTATTACTAAGCAATGCGGTACTTGGAGCTCATTCAACCCCTGTGGGTGTGACAAAGCCACAGCATGCTGGAGTGTAAACGCATCGCAAATTATACGGTTTTATCGCCAATGAATGGTCTATGAACACATTAATGCATCGTATAGTAAAATATAGAGAGTTTACCCTGGAATGTAAAAAAAACAATATATCATAAAAATGCGATGATGGGGATAGCTGGTAAAAAAATGCATTAATATTGCATTGATGTCGTTTTGAGCACATATACTGGTCACATTTGCATATCTTATCAGTTAATATATTTATATCTCAAGGTGGCATATCTCTCACATGCCAATATATTCCCTATTGTGTCGAACTATCCTCCGACATTTATGAATATTCATTGCGAATTTGCATGATCCAGGGTTTGTGAAACACCACGAGTTCCACCCTCGCTATTTAGCATCGACATGGATTGAGTAGCAACGACGAATCGATGTAGAGGTTGTAATCCAACTGCCAGCATCAGACGACAGTGAGTGTAAACCACGTGTGTGCTTGTCCCACCGTTTGTTGCGGTGCGCCAGTCAAACTTGGGTGAATTTTTTTATTTCCCCTTTGTGCAAAAGGTGATTGCACCTTCCGTGGCCCGTTCGGATACAATGTGGATGAGGCAGCCCAATAGTGCTGGGGGCAGTGAGTCTCCTAATGGCTGCATGATGGTCGGACTCTCAATGAGCTGCTAATTCGGGATGATGCTTACTTTCTTGTTCCTCCAACAGTCTATAATGATGTGTTCCAGAATGCCTGACTTGATTCTAGGTGTATTAGTGGGAGATTGTTCAGGTATGTCCGGGTGGGTAGAGGAAGTATTCCCAGAGTGTTTCTGCTCAGCGGCAGAGGTGCGCTGGTCGGATAATCCCACCGAAGGAGATACCAACCCACTGGACACGGTCTTGCCCGTGGCACTCCGAAAGTATACCCTGAAGGCTTATCACACCATTAGTGCAGTTCACTTGTAATTCAGAATAAGTCAAGGGAATTCGCTTCTGAACTTCATGAATTCAGCAGAGGCATTGAAGACATCCATTCAGCTCACCCAGAGGCTGCCTTTTGGCTATTAGACCTGAAAATGAGTTACTATACAATGCCGCACATAGGAAGCATCTGGGAAATCCATACTGAGGCAAAGTACTTTTTTTCATTGGGATGCTTTAGCCAATTCCATGGATGAATGTTTGACATGTGAGAGGAACACAATGTATCTGGAGAAACTGCACAGATACAAGGGGATGACATTCAAAGGTCCGCAAACGCTGTTTGATAAACTTTAATTGCTGCTGGTCACCGTTAGAGAGAGCGGATTTGGGATATTCACAGATGTACATTATACACCAATCCTTGTCTCCAAGGTGCTAGCTTGGAGGTATGGACCATCATACCATGATCGTAAACTGTTCTGATTTATACAGAACGCCCCTTCTCGGGATTATCGTGGATTCTATTATCTGTGGGATTTTTCTAAATTTGAGTCCTGTTATACAGGGGGTAAAAATTTTTGGATGATGCACTGATAGCAGAATGACATTTCCACACGACTTTTCTTATCTTCAAAAATATCGTGGATAATAGGATTAATGATGTGATGACCATTACCCATTGATAACATCGTGGGTAATAGGATGAAATGTCCACGTGACAGCTCTTACCTGCGAACAAAAGTCGGAGGTAATGAGTGTTTGCAGCATAGCGGGGTCACTGACGTGTA